TTCACAGGGCACAGAGCCCCACCCCACTTTAGATCTAATGACACGTGGTGCCCCCTTGGCCCTCCCGATGCAGCCTCTGGCCAGCCAGGGCAGATGGCGTACCCAGTGAGATCATCCCCTGGTCCCGTGACGCCTGGAGACAGGGCCAAAATCGTGTCCTGGAGCACCCTGCATGAAGCTGACTCCTTTGTAAGAGGGATGGGGGAGAGGAACACAGAGGAATTCCACCTTGTAATACCACGTAAAAAAAAGTAGCTTTAGAAATGTGCTTGTGCAGAATTTTTACAAACACCAACAACAAAAATAACACACACACACACACACACACACACACACACATATATGCATACAAGAAGTCCTAAAGGCTATGTGCTGAACAGAGGTTTTCTCTGGAAAGGGAAGTGGAATTAGGGAGACTTTCTCTCATTGGTCTACATTTGTGTTTTATTTTTTATTTTTTATTTTTTTTAACATTTATTTATTTTTGAGAGACAGAGCGTGAGTAGGGGAAGGGCAGAGAGAGAAGGAAACACAGAATCTGAAGCAGGCTCCCAGCTCTGCACTGACAGCAGCGAGCCTGGTGCGTGGCTCAAACCCACGAACTGTGCAATGGTGACCTGAGCTGAAGTCGGACGCTTAACCGACTGGGCCACCCAGGCACCCCTACATTTGTGTTTTATTATACTGTTTTATAGACATATATTAGGTTTATAATCTGATAAGAAGCAATAAATACCATCCCATTTTGGCAATGCAACCCATCCTTGTAACAGCCAAGGATTTTCCCACAGTGCACTTCTCCTTCAATTCAAATATCACGAATTGCCTGCAGCCACGGGCAAGGCTGGAAGACACTTAACATTGATTCTAGGCATCGGGGCCACTTTGTGATCGATCACGGAGACAGAGGCTGTTGAGGGTGACATGTGCATGTGGGGCTCTGACTTGAGGCCGTAGAAGCACCACCAAAGGCACCTGACAGGGGTGAAGGCCTATAGGGCCAGTGGGGACCCCTGGATGGGAAAGGCTAATCAATGCTGGGAGGAAGGTAATGAGACCAAGGGGTCGGGTTTGCTAACAGCTGATGTGTAGTCTTTCAGGGACACTTTTTTTTTTAATGTTTATTTTTGAGAGAGAGAGAGAGAGAGAGAATCCCAAGCAGGCTCTGAGCTGTCAGCACAGAGCCTGACACGGGGCTCAAACCCACGAACTGTGAGATCATGACCTGAGCCAAAGTCAGACACGTAACCGACTAAGCCACCTGGGTGCCCCTGAGGTACGCACTTAATGCGTATGACTCCATGTTATCAGCGTGAAGCAAGAAAGAAGTACAAAAAACTTAGACACATAATGGGAAATAAATTCTACATGGAAAATGAGGAAACACCATACCTTGGGGGTGTAAGCCAAGGGGAGACCCTGAACGCCTGTTGGTCATAAGCGGGAGGCATTCATGTGACTCAGTGCTGTCTCCCCTGCCTGTATCTGAGCTGCTGTTGGGTCTTCCCAGGGTCTCAGGAATTACCATCAGCATCAACATCTTAAAGGAATACCGTAAACCACTGAAGTGTAACTTTCAATAGGCAAATTTTATGGTCTGTGAGTTATTATCTTAATAAAGATGTTTTTAAAACATTGCAAAAGAGGCTCGAAATTAAGCTTATTTTCTTTTCCTAAATCGAAAAATACAGATGCCCTTCTGCTGTGGGCAGGGAGTTGGAGCCCTGGGCCCGAACGGCTCGAAAGTGGTTCACTCCGAGGACCGTCTGAGATTAAGACGCTTGCGCACAAACCTCTTCTCTTCTGGGCAGTCTGGCTTTGGCTCGGATCCAACCCCCGGGGCAAGTTTTTCTGTGATAAAACAAACCACAGAGGTGGCTTTGCAATGTTTGTACCATCTCAGAAGCTTTCACTTCTTCTGTGGGAAGAGCAGAGGTCCTGGTCTTGGTCGGAGGGGGGGGTTGTGGCTCCCCACAGTGCAGAGGGGGGAGGCCCAGGAAAAAACGCTGGGCCACAGGGCACCGCCCCAGGTGGGTGGGCCAGCAGGGAGTGGCAGGTGAAGATACCTTTGCGGGGGAGGCGCAAGGTCACATCCATTAAAACACAGAACTGGCTACGCGCAGGGAAAGGAGGGAAAATGGATGGGAAGAAACAGGCTGTTCACCCGGAAGGCTGTGTTGCCACAGAGACGGATGGTGGGCCTCTGACGGGCGCTCCGAGCCATCAGGCCAGGGCTGTATTCACCATCTTGTCCTCCCAAAGCTCAGGGTGTGCAGATGCCGACAGAGGCAGGGATCGCTGGGGAGGGGCTCCTGCACGCACGTGCGCACACACACACAAACACACACACGTCCGGTGTCTTGGGGAAGGGGAAACACCACGACACCCTCACTTCTGAAGCCTTCACCACACATGTCCCTGACCCCACGTCTGTGGGATTAAGCTGGAAACCTCCACGTTCCTGAGACACAGGTAGGGATCCTATGACCTCCCTGCCCTCCCTCCACTCCACATTTGGTCCAGCGTTCACCATCATACTTGTCCCCTCATACTCTAATTGTACCCCGTTAGACTCCCCATTAGAGGTTCTCTGAGGGTGGAGACTCCTGCACTTGTCTTTTTAAACCACGGTAAACAGCTCAGTTCTTAGTGTGGTGCTCGGTATACGGGCTAGGTGCTCCATGTACCTTCACAGACCGACGTAGGAAAGAATGTGCACTTAAGGCCACATGGCACACTTTGTCAAACGGCATGGGCCGCCCTCACCATGCCACTCTCTCTCATGTCCGGGCCTTTGTGCGTGCTCGTCTCCCAGCCAGGAAAGCCCTCTTCTACTTGCCCTCCCCTGCGTCTGGCTAACTCCCACTCGAGCTCTAGAAGCCCTTCCTGGCTCCGCCAGACGCCCTCAAGTGTGCCCAGTAAACGCCTGTTGCACGGTGTTGTGATTCTCTGGTTGCTTGGCACTGGTCCAGGAGGGTTAATGTCCTGAGGGTGGGAGGGCCGTGCCACCTTCTTCACCACCGTGGCTTCAGCGCTTGGCCCACACCCGGCCCAGAGAAGGTCCTCACTAAACTGGCGAACCAATGAGGGTGGGGGGCAGGGAGATGGGTGTTGGTGGGATGGAGGGGGGAGATGGGGCAACATGAACTGCTAGCACTTCCCAAGCTCACAGCTCATGTTGTCTTGCAAATCTGACAGCCAGCCTGTTCCCCACGTACGGGCCACCCAGCCCCCTAACAGCCATACCTCTGACAGCCCCCAGGAGAGAATGTTCCCCTGTGATCGTGATCGGGGAAGGAACTCAAAATCTCCCCCACCCCTTTGTAAACCTCAAGTGACCAAAATGAATGGGATATAACTGCTATGTCGGCTGGGTGTCGGGCTAACCAGGAATGACCTTAAGTTTGTCATCTTTGTCATCAAGGTCTCTCCTATTTTTGTTCCTTCTCCCCCTCCCCCCAAAGCAGACCTTGTTCTCCAGGCATTTGTCTGGGAGCCCCTGCTTGGCTAGGACAGATTCATATAATTCTGGGTTCTCAAGCTTGGAATGGACCTTAAAAAAGAGGCCCTCAGGATGCCTGGGTGGCTCAGTCGGTTAAGTGGCCGACTTCGGCTCAGGTCATGATCTCACAGTTCGTGAGTTCGAGCCCCGCGTTGGGCTCTGTGCTGACAGCTCGGAGCCTGGAGCCTGCTTCGGATTCTGTGTCTGCCCCTCTCTGCCCCTCCCCAGCTGGCACTCTGTCTCTGTCTCTCTAAAAAATAAATAAATGTTAAAGAAAAATTTAAAAAAGAAAGGAAGGAAGGAAGAAGGATAGAAAGAAAGAGCCCCTCTATGGCACAGAGAGGTGAAGTGACTTGCCCAAGGTCACACAGCTAGTCAGCACTGAAGCCAGGATACAAACCTAAGTCAGGGGGACATTTCAATGAGGATACCCCAAGTAAGATAGAAAACCACTGTTTTCCATAACATCAAACCCATGTGTTTGATACTACAGGTTAGATGCTATTCTGTTTACTTAAAAAATACCACGTCTTTGCTATACAGGCTATCTTTGCCCAAGTCATAGATTTTATTTTTCACTGTTCTCTTTGAATCCCCGTCACAATTCTAGGACATCAATCTGTGTTTCCCGTCAGGGAGGAGAGAAATGATCTGATTCCTTCAGGCTACACCAACAACGAACGAAAATACGACAAGGTAAGTTCACCGCGTACAGATCACTGAACTTGCTTCTTTTTACTGAAGAGAGATAAGGACATCAGAATCCGAAATATGCTCAGAGGGAACATGTCATGTCAAGAGAAGCTGTCACCAATGCAGGCCATGCATGAAGTCCACAGCTCTTCTCCCATGTGGCCCTGGAGACATTTTGGGAGTAGATGCTCTGTCACTGGGTGCCTGGGGGCTCAGGATGAAGCCACATCATATGATTATCTAAGAACTTGTCACCCTGTCACCCACAGTTCTCAGTTCAAGACAAAGAGCAGAGTAATTAGAAACCATGTAGAAGACTGTTTATGATTAAACAGCTCTGTGATTTCCTTTTCATTCTTGTGGCTTACTGTGTGGACAGCATTTTCCAGGGAGCCATGAAATGTGCACTTGTAAGTAATATCCAAGGGATCAAGAGTGTCTAAACACCTGAAGCCAGTGATTAAAGGCTTGTTTTCGGTGAAAAAAATATAAAATTAGTTAAGATGTTGTAACAGGATACAAACGGAACTGATTTTACTTAGAAAAACCTCGTTAAAAAAAAAAAGTACAATGTGACCAAAGGTATTATCAAGTATAATTTGGATTATTTGTATCCTAATTTAGATACTTATCCCTAGGGGCACCTGGGTGGCTCAGTCAGTTAAGCCACCGACTCCAACTCTGACCAACTTCGGCTCAGGTCATGATCTCGAGGTTCATGGGTTCGAGCCCTGCATCGGCTCTGTGCTGACAGCTCAGAGCCTGGAGCCTGCTTCAGATTCTGTGTCTCCTTCTCTCTCTCTGCCCCTCCTCTGCTCTCTCTCTCTCTCTCTCTCAAAAATAAATAAACATTAAAAAAACTAAAAAAAAAGATACTTACCCCACGTCTTCCAGATCTGGTTTGAAAAGATTAATTATTAAATCTTTTTCTCTTAAGTAAAACTATGCATTTGCCTTTAGTTAATGTGGTAGGCAAGAATGGCCTCTCAAAGAAGTTCAATGTCCTAACCCCCGGAACCTACAGATCTGTTAACTTTACATGGCAAAAGGGAAGTAAGAAGGTAGATGGAATTAAGATTGTCGCCCAGCTGAGCTTAAAATAGAGCGCTGATCCTAGATTATCCGGGTGGGCCCAGTGTAATCGCAAGGGTCCTTCTACGTGGGAGATGGAGGGAGGAGAGTCTGCGTCAGAGCCATGTGACATGAGAAAGACTCAGCTGGTCGTCACCAGCTTTGAAGATGGATGGGGCCATGAGCCAAGAAACGTAAACAGCTCCAGGAGCTGGGAACGGCAAGAAAGCAAACCTCCCCTAGATTCTCCAGAAAGGTGTGCAGTGCCGTCGACACCTTGATTTTAGCCCAGTGAGAGCTGCGTCAGGCTTCTGACCTCCAGAACCGTCAGATAAACGTCTGTGTTGGTTTAAGGCACTACGCTGGGAGCAGTCAGTTACCGAAGCAAACGGACAAGTAAGTCTGCTCACTCATATGGACTGGTACTTTAACGACAACTGGATTTGGGGGAAAGGAAGGAAAGAAATGGACTGGGACAGCACATCTGCCATGTGCCGGCATCATGGGAGACCCTGAAGTACGTGCCACACTCGGTCTCCCCCACCCTCCAGTGAGGTAGGTATTAACAGCGCCATTGTTGACGGCTCTGAATCTCCAAGAGGTTAAGGCACTTGTCTGAGGCTCCCCCTGCTACAGTGGCAAAGCCTGGGTGTGAAGAAGTCTGCTTGCCTCCAAATCGGTTTCTATTCGACGGCATGGCCTTCCTCCACTCAAGCTTAATGATGCAAAAAGCCCACAGGGCTTGCTCTGTCCCACTGAGCACCAGGAGAGCCCCAGAATGGTGGCTCTCCACCTGCCCTGCCGGGCACCCTCCTCCCTTCTCTCCCATATGCCAGCAGGGTTGGGGAGCAGGCCAGAGGTGCAAGAGAGCTCCTCCCCACAGCTCTGGCCCTTCTATGGCCCCAGCCTCTGCACCGTCCATTGGAGGGGCCACAAACAAAGTAGTACATTGCCCCTTGGTCTGTGGTGGAGGAAGGAAATAAATCAGGTGGGGAGTCTGACCCAGGAACTGCACTGATGACAGCTAACCAATGTGCTCTCATACCCCGTACGTATCTGCAGACTAGGAGTGGGCCCTTGTAGGAGGAGGGATCTTTTCCCACTGTGAATGGTGAGGTGTATGGAAGAGACCTCTTCTCCCAGGTGGGAGGAAATGGGGTGGGAGTCACCCCTCCGGGCTTCTCACACTGATTGCCACACAGCCCCAGGCTTGCATATTCTGTGCGCTGAAATGGCACTCGTGGCTCTCACAGCGTTCTGGGTATTCCGCGAACACACCTGGGCTTAGTTCAAAACAGGAGTCTGCTTTGGGAGCTGTCCAGATGTGGGTAGCTAATGATGTGATGGGGGGGGGGCGGGCCTTTTCCTAATCAAAGGATAGAATCCTGTTAATTAAGAGTAATGCTTTGTGCTTAAAAGGCGCAAGTTCAGACCCACCCGTTAGTCTCTTCGGTTAAGATCACTTTTAAATCAAAGTAGCCACACTGAGGTTGTAGGAAGCATCTATTATTAACAGGCAGAGAGAAATGGGCTCCTAAGTGAGAGGCTCGCCAATCACCACACCGTGGAGGGAGGCTTGGGGGCTGATTGAGGCATGTCAGCTGTGTACTGAAGTTTATAGCAGCTTTCTGTGCACACATGCATTACTGATGCTGTGCTTAGAGGCTGTGTGTATGTGTGTGTGGTGGGGTACCATGCCCATGCCTGTGCACACATGCCCTCCATTACGGAAGGCGGCCCGAGGATACCTTATGGACAGCAGAACAGGCCAGGCAGGGAGAGGATGATATAAACAGGACAGAGCAACCCCGGTGGCCTGGCCTTGGCTGAGCAGCTGGGGGGACTGCAGGGACTAGGTCAGCAAGCAGATTATGGGGAAGGCACGTACCAGCCCCCACCAGAGACCCAGAAAAAGGAGCAGATGTGGTTCCTGCCCTTTGGTGTATTCAGTCTGGCCAAGGAGAAACATATACAAATACTGAACGACACAGGGATAGTTTCAGAGCAAAGCGACCCCCATGGGCAACTCCATTCTCGGAATGCTGCCTACCACGTGCAGAGGCTCCAGGCTGGACAAAGGGATGGACGGTGTGCTCCCTGCTCTCTCAGATGTGGTTTGGGAGGGAAGACAAAAAGATAACCACAGTCTCAGACCAGAAGAGAGAAGGCAGATTGGCTTGTCCCCCAAGAGTCTGATTCTGTGAGCTAAGTATGGCGAACTTGGGCTAAGACTTGAAAGGAGAGCAGGCCCAGAGCAACAAACCCCTTCTTCTTGGCTGGAGAGGGTGGTGACAGGGTCATTATCAGGCAAAGGGATCATCTCCAGGCAAAGGGGCACCTCTGGTCAAGAGGGTGATGGTTGAGAGGCAAGACGTTTTGGAGAAGCCCAGATCAGAGAGACTTAAGGCCAGGCGCCAGCTAAAGGCCCCGAGCCAACGTCCAGGAGAACAGTTCCCTGTGCAGCCAGAGCAGCCAACAAGCTCTCTCTGTGACGGTCCTGTTTGCTGGAAATTAGCAAGGAATGAAGAGCGTTCTTCCTGCAGGTTTGGTTCCGGGGCTGGTAGTGGAGCTGCTCATTCTTGCAGAGTGCAAATTCCTGCAATGCCTGAGTTCCGGGGGGTAAGTAAACTGGCCCTGGCCGTGTGCCCACCTCTGACCGCCTTTCAAGGGCGATCCTTGAACCAGAAGCAGTGGCAGGTTACATAATTAAGCTTGAAGAGGTCCTGGACAGAGCTTCCTCATTAGAAAAGGTTGCAGCAGCATAAAACCTTGCGAGGGGAAGGAGGGCTTGGGGAGGGAAGAAGAGGGGAACAGATGGGGTGGGGACTGAGGGAGGAGGCAGCATCACAGCACCCAGGAGGGGATGCCTGGCGTCTCCTGAGGCAATGGAAAGGCCTCTTTGGAGGGATAATTCTCAGTACACCATTAGCTGTCAGAGTCAGCAGACCGACCACAGTCAATTTTCAAATGCCAGTGACAGGCTCCTGGATACAGCAGCCCTCTCCAGAGACGTCTGCCCTAGAAGGCTGTAACTGCAGGCAGTTCCTTCCGCAGTCACTGTCCAGCCAGAGGACAAAAATGTGCATGCTTATCTGAACAGAAGTGTTCCCTTTGCTTTTCCCAATTATTAACCTGTGGTTGTTAAACAGCTTGAAGGATCAGAGGTCCTTCTAGGAGGAGAGAAACTCAAAAAGGCGTTCCGCTCAGAGTCCACCTTCTGTCTGGTAAGAAGGTTATTTGACTCTGCAGATGAGGCAACAGAGAAGCTACGCAAGTTGCCCAAAGACACCCAGCTAGTCGACAGCAAAGGAAGACAAGAAATCAGCCTCCTAGAGCAGATGGAGGCACATGGTGCCAGAAAGCAGGTTTCCATTCTCCAGAGAACTGATGACTTTACAACAGCGTGGTCACATGCTCAAGTCCCTGCCTGCTCATAGGCTGACCAGTTTCTAGCCAATGGCGGTCAGCCAGCAAAAGTCTAGTGACCGAAGCACCAGCAGGGGGCACACTCTCAACTGTATGGCTGATGGTATCGTTTGGGCAACTGTCCAAGAAAAGTGTTCTTTTAAATTAATTTAAAACCCACAGTATAAACTACTCTCGGAAAAGAAGAATAAATTCATGCATAATTTAGGTCCAACACACTCCTTTTAAATATTCTAATGACCACTAATGATTGTATTTTAAGGAAACAAACCAATAATGCAAAGTGTAAACAACAAATGGAAGCCTTTTTCTGAATTCAGTCAATTGATTGTGAATGGCTGGAGAGATCATTCCTCCTAAGAAAAACCCGCAGGAATGTAGTTCAAACCCATTGCTCACTTCAATCTTCTCAAACCTAACCTGTTCTGGTTTATCTATTCGTTTTTTTTTGTTTTTTTTTTTTAAGGCAGTAAATATAACAGAGCAAAAGTTCCACGAGAAGACATTTTAAGGTGCAGATACACTTGAGAGCACTGGGAGAGGGAACTCTCAAGCCAGAGTGGCTTCTTCCTGTCCAGGAAGAAGGTCAAGGGACCTGGGATCTGGCAAGTGGCCTTATCTTCCCCGAACAAACAAGGCTTTGCCTCAGTTTCCTCAGTCCTAGGAGGACTGTCCGCAAAGTTCTATAATCTCCCTTTGGCTCCACCAGGACAAGGGGCTGGAGTACAATGTGGGGACCAAGGGTGAGGTGGAGAAAGTGGCTGCCACATGGCAAGGTAATAAAGGGGTGGACTGTCTGTAGAGAATCCAAAATCAATAATAAAACCGACTAACAGCCAGCCTGGTTTTATGAGCGTCGTGTGCCTACAATCCTAAACAGTATTTGTGCTAAAATACTCCTCCTCAAAAATGTGTTCTTGGTCTCTAAGTTATAAACAATCGGTGTCATTGCCGGTGAGTGTTAATAACACGTATGTAAGGTTTACATTAGCACTTTAAAAAACGTACCCTTTAGGAAACCTGGTTTTCTCCATAGAAGTCACTTGGAGAACTCCCAGGTACATAATTGGCCCCAACATATGTGGAGTTGGCTCCACACGGTTGTTGCAAGAGAAAGTTCTTAACAGTTCAGAATTGTGAGCTTGCTTCGGGCACCATTTGTGGCTTCAGTCTTAGTGAGACAGCACGTTCCTGCATTTAGGAAGTAGGTTGTAAGCGTGAACCAAGGTAGTTCGGCCACCTAGGAGCTGACTTACTTTAATGCTGTCCTTTCATGGGGCCACATGGAGATTTTTATTTGTGTTTAAAATTTAAAAGAGCAACACTGAGTGTGAACTGCCAAGTGTAATTTTGGGCTTGGTAAGTACAACTTTTACTCACACGTGATATATTTTACTGAGTCTGAATAATATATTTCAAATGGAAACGACTTCTTTTTTAATTGTTGAGTTATCGTGTTTAAAACTAAAAAAATTAAGCAGTAAAGCAGTACCTCCGTGGTATGATTTAGTGGTTGCTAAATTACAGGCAACTTCTGTAGATGTCTCACTTTCATGAAAATTCACTTATTAGTAACTGAACAGTGATTTACATAAATTATCATTATATCAGGCTGCAACCAACAATCAAACCTCCGTAGATATAATAACAGTTTAATAAGTACTTGTGCTTTTTGTCCTATTTGGTACCATAATATTTACTTTTCTTTTTTGTAATTGTGGCATAATTATATGTATGGAGTTCTGTCAGAGAAACATTTTCTTCCTTCTGTTTCTTTTCTGGCCATTATTACTATCATTTCATTTCATGGTTATTTCTGAAGATCATTCTGTGATATAAAGGAGGGGAAAGTGAAGTGACAAGGTGCCTAGCAGCTCATACCACCATTCTGCAAAGTGGCTTGTGATGGGTGAGCCAACCCCTTCCACAATCAGCCAGACTCAACCATCCACAGATCTGCAAGAGAATGAAGGTTAATTTTTCCCTGAACCATCAATTTCCCTGCTAATGTGCAATACTCCATGTAAAACTCAACGATGTGAAGGTTCATGAAGACTTCTCAGGGCCAGGGATGAGAAACCTGAGCAGGGCCCACAGAGGGTGGTGCTGCATTGGGGTCTGGCCCTTGCCCAGCCTCGAAACCAGAGGCCACCCTCACAGCAGCCAGAGCATGTGCTCCCTGTAGCCATGACCTACTTCCCGGTCTCCCAGAGGGGGGAACCGGGCAGGCATGACAAAGCAAAATTAAGCGAATTTGGAGTGGGCTCATGCCAGAAAAGCTTCTAACAGTATGTACCTTTTTCTAGGGACAGGAGGCAGGTGTCCCGAAAAGAGGAAGAGTCTGATCTTGGAAATTAAAAAAAATTGACCAGAGGGAAATGGAAAGAACACAGGCTTTGAAGATGAAAGACCTGGGTTCAAATTCTGATTCTGCAATTTACTGGCTGTGTGATCTTGGGCAAGTGACTTAACCATTCTGAGCCTCAGTTTCCTCATTTGTAATGTGACACTGTAACCCCACCTTTAAAGGCTGTGCTGAGATGAAGCAAAATTGTGTCTGTCTTCTGATACCTGAGACCATCTCAGCTCTTCTACGTAGTTTTCAACAATGACATAAAATACTCTCCAGGGACAGAGCCAAAGCCTCATGGGGCTTAGGCGCTCCTCTGCCTGCCCTGCCTCAGGGCTGCCTTGGTGGTCAGGCACAGGGATTTCTCTATGCAGAGTACGCCACACTTTTTCCAGAAAGGAACTTAGCTTGCCAGAGGGTGGACAGCTTGCCAGCAGGGGCTGGGCACCCATTACCAGTTCCCCTGGGAGTGTGTGCTTCAGAGATCTGTAGCAGCCGACAATGGCCAGGTATTCCTGACATTTAAATAAACACGTGCAGGGTGCCTGGGTGGCTCAGTCAGTTGGGCGTCCGACTCTTGATTTCGGCTCGGGTCACGATCTCACGGTCATGGGATCTAGCCCCACGTCAGGCTCCGTGCTGACAGTATGGAACCTGCTTAGGATTCTCTCCCTCTCCCTCTCCCCCACTCATGTTCTCTCTCTCTGAAAATAAAATAAATAAACATAAAAACTTTTTAATAAACACATGCAAACTGTGGGTAATGAAGAATAAGTCATCCTAACCCTCTGTACTTAGAAGTAAGGGGACTGGATGGCAGGTAGGAGAGAGTAATAAGGAAAGAAGAAAGGCCTAAGCAGTGATTTAAAAAGTAATGGAGGTTTTGTTTTTGACTGATGGTGGAGCTAATATTTATTGCAATCCTTTACTGCTTATTTGTGCCCCACCCACCTACAGTAACTTTCCTGGTCTGTACAATGGGTATAATCATACCCTTCCCAGGCACTGAGCCTGCCCCATGTAAGGTGCATAATAAAGCTTGGCTGAAGCAAAATATGAAATTAACATATTGTTACCTAGGAAAATATCTTTCCCATCCTGGTTTTTTTGTTTGTTTTATTTTAGAGAGTGGGGGAAGAGGGGCAAAGGGAGAGAGAATCTTAAGTAGGCTCCTCATGGAGCATGGAGCCTGACACGGGGCTCAATCCCATGACTCTGGGATCATAACCTGAGCTGAAATCGAGTCAGATGCTCAACCAACTGAGCAGAGGATTCCCTACAGTGCTTCAAAAATATATCTGCTAATGTCTGGACCCACCCTAGCGATTAGGATTCAACTGGCCTGGGGTAGGGCCTGGGCATCATGTTTCAAAAGCTCCTCAGATGAATCTCATGTGTAGTTAGGTTGGCAACCAGGGTGCAGGTGCTGGGGCCACAGCCCTGAGTGACACGGACACGTCCTTGCCCTTGTGAAGGCACCATTGAGGGAGACAGTGGACAATCAAGTGAGACAAGTGTCACAAGAAAGGCCAGAAGATCACAGGAGCATAGAAGGGGCACCTGGGTGGCCTGGGGGGTGGGAGAAAACTTCCCTGAGGAAGCGATGCTTATGCAGAGGCCTGAGGGATATGGGTAAGTTAGCAAGGTGAAGAGAGTGGCAGGGAAGAATAGTCCACACAGAGGGGAGACGAGATGCAAAGGCCCCAAGGCAGGAGGCTGCAGAAAATTTTCAATCACCTAAAAGATGACCCATAAGGCTGGAAGATGACAGAAGCAGTGTCGCCTGATGTGTGAAGCTACTGGAATTTGGGACTTGTTTGTCACTGCAGCATCATCCTGGCCTTGCTGACTGATACAGAGATTATAGCAGAAAGACTGAGGGCCGAGTCCAGCCTGGATTCAGCTAGGAGGGTGGGCACGTTGGGAGAATGTGGAGGTGCCAATGGTGTTGAGGATGCTTTAAGAACAATCTGGCTGGAAGAGGAGGAGCCAGCTAGGATGGCCAGCCAGACACCCCTGGATAGCAGTATTTTTAAGCCTCTCTATACATCCTGCCAAACTGCCTCCTGCCACTAGCATCCTATGGGGGCAGACTTGAGTAAATGCTATCTCTGAACGGGGGCAGAGACTGAGGGCCGCAGGCAGAGGGAGGTGCGGCCCTGGAGGGGAGGATCCCCACCTCTCAGAGCTTCTCGTTCTGCCTGGCCCACGGCAGGCATTGAAATGGTCACTGCATGAATAAACAAATCTGCAAACATGTATGTCTGCACTCCTATCCCATGTCCAACACAAGGGACAAGGAGAGAGAAGGAAAAGAAAAAGCAAGGCATCATGGGATGAAAGGCACTAATGGGGTGTGCAGGAGTCAAAATTAAATTCACCCACATACAACGCAGCAAGTTTTCCTAGGAAAATCTGACCCCCTCTTGCACTGAGGTCTGGAGATCGGCCTCCTCTGCAGGCCAGTCTCGATCTGATTCAATTCCAAAATCCAGGCAGCTAGGAAGATGCAGGGGGGACACTGGGTGTGTTATGAAGTGCCGGTCCCCAAGTGTTGCCCAGGGAAGGGCAGCAACATTACCTAAGGAAACAGGGAGGGCTCTCGCAGCTGCTTCTCTGCCCAGGAGCCAGTGGACAAAGAGCGGACCTCTGCCACAGAGATGAAGGCAGTTCCCAGGCCCAGCAGTGGGACGTGCTGTCACTCCATTGGGATGATTTTCCATAAGCGACTCCTGATTGTTACTTGGATTCTAAACCGGCAGGAGCAGCCCCTACGGGCAGAGATGGGCTGAGCGGGGGCTGCAAGGGGGCTATGGGTGCACAAAGGTCTACGGGAGGGATGGAACTGATGCATCCGTCCTGTGGGCCCCAGGGGCTGCGTGGCCAGGGAGGGAGGGAGGGCATGACATCACAGTCACCCCGGCAGAAAAGCCAGGTCTGTGAGGTCATGGAGCTCTGGGGCCCTTCTCCCCTGCCTTGGGCACTGTGTTTTGTTTTGTTTTGTTTTTGTTTTTGCTTTTTGGTGTTTTTTGCCTTCAAAGAGGAAGGAATGGATGAACAGGCAAGAGAAGAACAGAGGGGAGGAGGCTGGGAAGCCAGCCCACCACTCTCCCATATTTGGGAGTCGATACGCCCTCCTCCACTCCCCGTGACCCTTGCTAGTGAGGATGGACTGAGCAAAGGAGTCTTCAGAGTCACAGGTGACTGAAGCTCATGTGGCCCTGCACCGGCATCTGAATGGGCTTTGGAGATTCCAGACTTTGCACACTTGATGGGGCCACGGCTATGTCCTGAGGTCACTGTCAAGGACTGGGGCGGGGCGGGGGGTGTTCTCTCTCCTCTTCCTGCAGATTTGCATAGGCCTGTCTCACCCTGGATTTCAAGGCAGACAGGGCTTAGTTGTGAAATGCAAAAAAGGGGACTTGTGAATTCCAGAGAATGTACTGAAGGATCTTTTAAATCCAAACACTCAGCTACCACTTGCTATGTGCAAGTCTCTTTTCTAAGCACATTATAAACCCAAATTCACTGAATTCTTTTCACAGCCCTATAAGGTGGGTATTGTTATTTTTACACCAATTTTATAAATAAGGAAACTCAGGCACAGAGAGGTCGAGCAACCTGCCCAAGCTCATACGTACAGCTAGAACATAGCAGGGCTGGGATTTGAACCCAGGCATTTGGCTCGAGTGTGTGCGTAAAAGCTCACTGCCATGTGAGAAGAACTGTAGGACAAGTTGTTTCCCAGAAGTGAGAGTGGAGTTCCACTTCCTCACCGGTTTGTATCATTCAAGAAGGGGACTATTCCTAAAGACTAAAGTGGGTAGGTCAAGGTTCCACGCGGTGGTGACAGTGGCTGAGTCAATGAACAGCTGCGGTTTCCTTAGGTGCTGCAGAGGTGAGAGAAGATTTTAATGAGAAAAACTAAGATTCCCTTTTATGAGAGGAAAACAGAACCACACAGAGCCCTGGAGGTAGGCTGGCCCCCAGCATTCCCTCAGTGCCCATAAGCAAAGCTGCGACAGTCAGACCACATCCAGCTGCCTGTCCCCTGGAGCTGTCTCAAGAATAAACACTATGGGACTTCTGGGCTAAATCGGCCACAGAGGGACAATTCTCTCCTGATGGCTCTGGGGACCAGTCCTAGCCTGGTCTGACATCCTGGTGGGGACCCAGTCCCAACATCATTCTCATCTCTGAGCCACATTCCCATCCCATGCTCAGTGAAAATCCCTGAGTCATGATAGAGGACAACCAATGCTGGAGAGAAGCCTTCAGGTAACACCTGCTCCAGGCGTCCTCTCTTGTAAGAGAACAGTATGTCAAGACGCCTCAACATAATAACACCTTTACCATACATATAAAACTAACTTATAAAACCCCTGTGTGTGTGTGTGTGTGTGTGTGTGTGTGTGTTTCTTCCCTAGCCAGACTCAGTTTCTCATGGGCCAGGACTGAGTGGTTCCAAGTAGCCTAGTGCCTGGCACATAGTAGGCCTTCAACTGGACGTGCTGAACGTTTTTAGAACTTTTAGACACCTTGGCTGGGAGTTTTGATAAAACGTCCCTTCGTTAAAAGACAGCAACCAACAAGTATCAGATCAATGGAACCCTTAAAGAGCAAAACATAAGGCCTTCGGATCGGGAGGCTGAGTCGTCCAGGGTCAGTCATGATATTGATCAGAGACAGGACTCGGAGTATCCGTCAGCAAAAACCATTTGCTGAGGGTCATGGGCTCAGGTGCTTTGGACCTCCTTAAGGGGAATCTTCAGTCCCTGCTCCTCCCTTCCAATAGGATGGCACCAGAATATCCCAAAGTAGACAAAGGGCTGGCCTCTGCCACAGAGATGAAGGCAGTTCCCAGCCCCAGCACTCTGCAGTGGGATCTGCTGTCACTCCTTTGGAAATGACTTTCCATAAGCGACTCCTGGTTGTCACCCCAATTCCAAACTGGCAAGAGCAGGACCATATGATATGCTTCTCCCAAGCTCTCAAAATCCCCATCTCAGGAAGTTCTTCCTGCTGTCTAGCTTGAATCCTTCCAGATACAGTTTAAACCAGACAAACATCCCATAAGTATATTAGTTTAAATCTTCTAAGTTAGTAACTCACACTTGAAAATGGTGACATTCAATTGAAATACAATTTCTTTTTTGACATTTATTCATTTTTGAGAGATAGACAGAGAGAGCTTG